TCAATTGTATCTTTTATCTCATTGACGTTTTCAGCTCCAAAATTTCTATTTGGGTCTTTGTAATGATTTCTATCTCTTTATTGAATTTCTCATTCATATTATCTATTGTCTTTCCCATTTCTTTAAAGTGTCTATCTGTATTCTCTTGCATGTTGTTGAGTCTTATTGAGTTTCCTTAAGATAATTATTTTGAATTCTTTTTCAGATTTAATAGATTTCCTCAGGTCAGGCTCTATTTATAGAGGACTACTGTGTTCTTTGGAGATGTCACAGCTCCTTGTTTCTTCATGTTTCCTGTGTCCCTGCATTGGTATCTGCATATCTAGTGTAATAGTTTCTTTTTCTTTATGGATTAATCTCATTGGGAAAAATTTTTTTTTTTTTTGCTTAGATGGAATACAGGTGGTCCACTTAAGTTGTTGCTTTATCTTTGATTCTATGTGAGCCCAAAAGCATAACCTCTGAATGATTGCTTTTTTTTCTTTAGAAATGGTTTTATTTTATGTGAAAATAATGGAAAGATGTCATATCCATTATTTTCCAAAAACAATTGGGAACTTATTAAAAGAAAACTCCATAGCAAATTTTAAAAGGCACAAGAATTTCTGTTTCTTCTATACTACTGCCAAGCTATAAAATTAAAGCTTGTTCTACCAGGAATCATTGTAGTCTCCAAAGTGGAAATCATATAGTGCCATCCCAGGCAGATCATTCAGCTCTTACTCCCAACATCGATAACTACCTATCAGAACTGTTAAACTAGGTCAAAGCAGTCTGTTGGGATTAGGCTTCAATATACAAAGCCATCATTACGCTCTCCTAAGATGCTAACAAACCGAAACAGTAAATATCAAAATCAAAAGATATCATTTGAGATTAATTATCTTATAAATTGTGAAGTTAGTGTTGTAGCTCCACTTTTAAAAAATGAATAAAAGCAATATTTTACTGCAAAGAAAATTTTATTTTACATATCCTTTCTCATGAATTTTTATAAGTAGTTATTACTAGTGCCATTATCCACAGTTCACTTCTGTATTTAAGAATAAAGTTTTCATGATTTATAGAAACACATGTATCAAGGAAGATTTAACATGGAGACACAATCTAACATCCATAATCTGATGTTCTTCAGACAGCAGTGCAGGAGAGATTATTTTTAATCACCTTTCATTTGAGTCACTTTTTGTAAAATATAATGTCAATAATTTAACAAGTCCTACGTCTCCAAAGGAGATTTTCAAATACACAAATCTTTAAGAAACACCCTCCACGTCCACATTCTGTTGTAACTGCTGTGCCATTTTTCCTTCCAGCTGTTTCTCTTTGTCTGCAAGAGATAAGATGAATGTTTTGCTTGGCTTCTTTGATGTCCTGAACTTTCTGTAGTTCTTTATTTTTCTTCAATATGTTCATTATAAAAGTTCTTCATTTTTCCAAATCCAAATGAATTTCCACTGTAAGCTCTTTACCAGCTGTTTTCCAGAATGCTTGGGTTCACCTGACCTTGTGAGGATTATGCTTCTTTTTAAAGTTTTTATGACATTCAGATTTACAGAGTCTGAATACCTTGCAGTTGTCGTGGATGAATAACATGCCGTGGCCAGGCTGGGTGGGCCCCAAACACAAATAACTTTTCAATGTGCATATTGAACTCGTGTGGGTGCCCATGGGCAAAACACTGCTTTGATCAATATTAGCAGTGTCTATACGGGTCACAGTTTTTCAGTTTGTAGTTTATGGAGGTAAAGGTGTGAAGTGGATGTGGGCTTCCTAGGATGTGGATCTTCAGTCTCCAGAGAGTTGGGTTTCAGTCACACTAGGGTTTGTGATGGCAGACTCATTTTTGGTGCTGAGGGACAGAGAGGAGACTGTTCCCTTGTCCCACCAGGCAAACGTAAGTGATGCTGAGGCTTCTGGCACCAATACCTGTGGCTCTGGGACTGTGTGATGTAGATGGGACCTTCCCCAAGTATTGATAGGAGAATGTGGTTGGTGCTTGGACTTGTAGACCAACAGCCCTAGTCCCAGCAATGGGGATAAAAACCAATACAGGCCGGCGCCGCGGCTCACTAGGCTAATCCTCCGCCTAGCGGCGCCGGCACACCGGGTTCTAGTCCCGGTCGGGGCGCCGGATTCTGTCCCAGTTGCCCCTCTTCCAGGCCAGCCCTCTGCTGTGGCCAGGGAGTGCAGTGGAGGATGGCCCAAGTGCTTGGGCCCTGCACCCCATGGGAGACCAGGAAAAGCACCTGGCTCCTGGCTCCTGCCATCGGATCAGCGCGGTGCGCCGGCCGCAACGCGCTGGCCGCGGCGGCCATTGGAGGGTGAACCAACGGCAAAGGAAGACCTTTCTCTCTGTCTCTCTCTCTCACTGTCCACTCTGCCTGTCAAAAAAAAAAAAAAAAAACAATACATACATTTGTAGAATAGCATAGATAACTCAGAAATTAATCCACACATATACAGTCAACTGATTTTTTACAAAGATGCAGAGAACATACATTGGAGAAAGCCTTTTGAATAAACAGTGCTGGCAAAATTGGATATACATATGTAGAAAAATGAATTTAGATCCCTACCTCTCAGCAAATAAAAAAATAAACTCAAGATGGATCACAGACCTAAATCTGAAACTATGAAAATACTAGAAGAGGGGCCAGCACGGTGGCGCACTGGGTTGATCCTCCGCCTGCGGCACTGGCATCCCATATGGGCGCCGGGTTCTGGTTCTGGTTGCTCCTCTTCCAGTACAGCTCTCTGCTGTGGCCCGGGAGGGTAGTGGAGGATGGCCCAAGTGCTTGGGCGCCTGCACCCACATGGGAGACCGGGAAAGAAGCTCCTGGCTCCTGACTTCGGATCAGCGTAGCTCCGGCCGTGGTGGCCATTTGGGGAGTGAACCAATGGAAGGAGGACATTTCTGTCTCTCTCTCTCACTGTCTCTAACTCTACCGGTCAAAAAAAAAAAAATACTAGAAGAAAAGAGAGAAAACATTTCAAGACATTGGTGTAGTTGATTTTTTGTATGCAATAAAGGCAAAACTAGATAACTGGCATTATATCAAAATTTGAAGCTTCTTTACAGCAAAGAAAAAGTCAATAGAGAGAAGAGATATTCAACAAAATGGGAGGAAATATTTGCAAGCTACTTATCTGATAAAAGATTACTATCTACAATATATCAGGAACTCAAAAACTCAACCAACTCAGTTAACAAATAGGCAAAGGAAGTGAATACAGTTCTCAAGGGAAGAAATACAAATGGCCAAGAGATCTATGAAAAAAATGGTCAATATCACTAGCCATCAGGGAAATTTAAATCAAAATCATCATGAGATATTACCTCACCCCTGTTAGAATGGCTATTACAAAAACACAGAAAGTAAGAAATGCTGGTAAGGGTGTGGGACAAAGGGGGACTCTTGGTAGAAATGTAAATTAGTACAGCCACTATGAAAAATTTTATGGAAATTTCTTTAAAAACTAGAACTAGTGCCATTATGTTTCAGAAATCTCACTCCTGGGTATATATTTGAAAGACATGAAATTATCGTATTAAAGAGATACCTGCTCCACCATGTTTATTGCAACACTACTCACAATAATCAAGATGCATAATCAACTAAGGTGTCCCTCATCAGATGAATAAAGAAAATAAGATATATACACAACTGGATTCTATGTGTCCATAAAAAACAATGAATTTGTCATTTTCAGCAAAATGGAACTAGAAGACATCATGTTAAATGAAATTAGTCAGACGCAGAAAGACCAATGTGGTATGTTATTCCTTGTATATGGAAGCCAAAAGAAAAATCAACGTGAACACAGAATGTAGATTACTAGGGAAGTGGGTGGGAGGGATCGAGAGAGTTTGGGTTAACAAATGGGAAGTTGGGTATGGTTTATGGTTTGTGACAAATATATTAACATAGGATGTTAATAATAGGGGAAACTAGGTGTGGGATATATGGGAACTCTTTGTATAATGCTACAATTTTTGTTTTGTAAATTTAAAACTATTCTGAAATAAAAAGTTAAAAAATAACTCAGATTTGTATGAGGCATAGAGGAATCATCTTCAAAATACATTGATGGGTAAGACATTGAAGAAACTAGAGTATGTTTAGTATCTTATCATTGTGTGAAATGGAGAACTAGATACTTAAAAATATACATGCCTCTATATGCATAGAATTGTTATGGAATAAAACCCAAGAAATTATTAACAATAGCTGCTACTGGGGTTAAGGTCACAAGAAGTCAGGTGCTGGGGCAGAAAAATTGCATTACATATATCACCTTTTTTCCATTAGAAATTTTTGTCCTCTGAGTGTGTGTATGTGTGTGCTCATGTGAACATTTACATTTTCAATAAGAAAAATGAATTTAATTTAAATTGAAGGAAAAAATAAAATGCATGTTATAATCTCAAATTAACAGTGATTATCTTAGGATAGTGTGATTACATTTAATTATCATTTTTCCTTTGTGCTTTTATGCACTTGACAAATTTCACAATGTGACAATGGGTTATTTTTATAGTCATAAAAGTAAATATGTTAAAAACATTCTAAGAAGGAATAGAAAGGGATTAACTCTGGTGGAATAATTACATAATATATAAAAAGATGAAAAAGAAAGGATGTTGAAGTTTCTTCTCTGTCACACACACATGCACATACATACACACACAACACCATTTGAAATATTTAAGAGTTTTTCAAAAAGTTGATGGAAAACAAGCATCAATTTTCAATTCCATTTTCCCATGAACTTTTTGAAGACCCCTCATATTTTTATGAGTAATATAGTGATCAAAAAAGTAAGGAAGCACAAAAGGAAACTATAAGCAGAACAGTTTTAAAAACCCTTAATTTTTCAAATGGGACAAAGTTCTATGTAGCAACAAGAACTTGCTACCAAATGTGTCATTATGACAATGACTTTCTAATGCTTTCATCACTATAAGAATTTGGTTACATCATCAGTAACAGAAGACTCAAACAGCAGAAGAGTAGTATACAAGCTCTGATTTTTTTTTTTTTTTTTTTTTGCAAAGACCCAAAAGTATAGTGTTTGGGAACCATCTGTCCTGGCACTTCTCTTTATATCACCAAATCTAAAGGTAAAGTGGCTCTTAGAAAGGGACTATATAAAAGTTTGGTTGATCACAAAAAAATCATAGAAAAGGATCATCCCCAAACCTTGGTCTTTTTTTTTTTTTTAAGATTTATTTCTTTATTTGAAAGTCAGAGTTACCCAGAGAGAGGAGAGGCAGAGAGAAGGGGGGTCTTCCATTGCTGATTTACTCCCCCAATTGGCCGTAATGGCCGGAACTGCAGTGATCCGAATCCAGGAGCCAGGAGCTTCCTCCAGATTTTCCCATATGGGTGCAGGGGCCCAAGGACTTGGGCCATCTTCCACTGCTTTCCCAGGACATAGCAGAGAGATGGATCAGATCTCGAACCTGCGCCCATATGGGATGCCCGCACTGCAGGCAATGGCTTTACCCCCTACACCACAGTGCCGGCCCCCAAATCTGGGTCTTAAAAGTATATGTGACACATCGACAAATTACTGGCTTTTAAGAACAATGTCATTGAGAGCACAGCGTCAGAAAATAATCTGGCTAGATTAAACAAAGTCTTTTTCATATGGTCTTTTCAAATGATCTTGAATTTAAAAGGTGGTCATACCACATTGTTGGGACACTAAAACAGTGCCTAGCTGAAGTCTTCCCAGCCTTCTCAGGTTGGTATTATCTGTAGAACTTTCTAATAGGAATATTATGCAAGTTACATTAATCACTATAAATAGTCTAAGAATCATATTGCAAAAAGTAAAAGAAAAAAGGATAAAATTAATTTAAAAATTTGTGGTGGCCACTGTGGCACAGTAGGTTGAGCCACTGCATCTCATATCAGAGTGTAGAAAGAGTCCTGGCTGCTCCATACTTCTAATCTAGCTTCCTATGAATGCGGTTGGGAGGCAGCAGATAATGGCTCAGATGCTTGGACCCCTGTCAGCCATGTGAGCGATTTGGATTGAGTTCTGGGCTCCTGGCTTCAGCCTGGCTCACCCTTGGCTATTGCAGGCATTTGGAGAATAAACCAGCAGAAGCAAGATCTCTTTTTCCTCTCTTTTTCCATCTCTCCTTCTCTCTCTGTTACTTTGCCTTTCAAATAGATAAATTTCCTAAAATTATTTATTTAATGCACTACATATAAAATTTCATTTTAACAAGTAGTCAATATAGAAAAATTATAAATGAGGAATCTTAAAATCTTTTTTTTTCATAGTAAGTCTTCAAACTCCACTGTTTAGACTAGTAATGTGTCACATGTTCCCTAGCCACATATGTATAGGAAGGGATAAATCTAAAACAAATTAAATAAATATTAAAAAATTAAATGTCAAGGACCTCTGTTTTACTTCAACATATTATCCAAAGGTAAAACTTGCTTTTGGATGACACCTACCAAAAACCAATTTATGCTCATAAACAGATATCTAACATCTTCAAGACAACTTAACTTGATGCATTGACTGGAGTCAAGATTTCCATCCTAGAGTTTAGTGATTTTTTTTGGGGGGGGGGGGTTTCAGGGGCTGCCGGGCAGCAGGCTTTATTGGGGGGAGGGGCCGGGATCCGCGGCTGCGGCCGCGGCCATGGCGGCCGCCCGCGCCTCCTTCTTCTGTCTTTGCTTCTCCTCCTTGAGGCGCTTGCGCTGCTGTTTCTCGAGGTCCTGCAGCAGCTCCTGGAAGCGGGCGCTCCTGGGGTCCACGTGGTAGCCCAGGCGCTCCTGGGCCTCGGCCTGCAGCCGCGCGCGCCGCTCCTTGTCGGCCTGCGCCTTCTCCCAGCGCTCCCGCTGCTGCCGCCGCCAGTCCTCGATCATCTGGGGCATCCTGGCCATGCGCTCCGCGATGAGCTGCTCCCTCTCCCGCCGGCGCTGCGCCTCGGCCAGCTGCTGCTCACGCAGCGACTCCTGCATGCTCGCCAGGCTCGGGTACCATTCCTTCTCCTCGGCCTCCAGCTCGCGCAGCTGCTCCCGCGACGGCCACAGCGACCCGGGGGCCACCCCGGAGGCGGCGCCATGGCGCGCGAACTGCTTGGCGGCTTGGCGCGGCCCCAGCTGCCAGCGCGGGGTCCGCGGGTCCTCCGGGTCCGGCCACCAGGGCTGCGACGAGCGGCGCGGCGCGGCGGCGGCGGCGCCCGGTAGCCCCGAGCTCCCGAGGCCAGAGGCGCCGCCAGGCCGAGCAGGCGGCGCACCTCGAGTTTAGTGATTTTAATTTAGACTTTTGTCACTATTTACAAAGATATACCTTTAGTGGAGCTCTTATCATTTAGGTTATTAGTTTAATAGTCTTTGAGTAAAGCATTGGTCTGACTATATAGGTGAATAAAAATAATATATGTATAAATCAACCTTGGGGCAGCACATACAGGTATCTTCAGAGTTACCTCATTTAATTTTCACAGAAATGCAAGTGAAATAGAAGAGTTTTACTGAATTTCTTTTATGTAATCAGAGTGGACTTTGACAGAGCAACACAAAAGAAATATTATAGACATTTTGCTCCTGATCATAAAAGGATATGCTGACATCCTAAGAGACTTTCAGGTACTTTAAACAGTATAGGTGGTTTCCCTGACCCAAGTATGCCTGCCTCCTAAGGCTGAGTGATCTACAATCAGATCCTTAAATTGGTGGCCCAATTTCCATAAATTAATTTATCATTAGAAAATGGCAAGGGAGTAGTTTTTAGCTTAAGAAAAAACTTTTCTCCTTATTTTCTAGGAAAGAATGAGTACTAGACGAAAATTCCTAGTACTGATTCTATCTGTTTTATCACTGATACACCTTGAACATCATTTCAGGTAAATATAAAATATTAATAAATAATTATTTTTAATGATTGGCAGAGTTGATTTAAAATGCTGAGCTTTGTCCAAAAGATAGTAATAACAATTCCTACATTAGTCAGAAATTCTCTTTTCTTTGGGGGAACAAATATACTAATTATTTAATTTTTTAAAGATTTATTTATTTGAAGCCAGCGCCGTGGCTCAATAGGCTAATCCTCCACCTTGCGGCGCCGGCACACCGGGTTCTAGTCCCGGTTGGGGCGCCGGATTCTGTCCCGGTTGCCCCTCTTCCAGGCCAGCTCTCTGCTATGGCCAGGGAGTGCAGTGGAGGATGGCCCAAGTGCTTGGGCCCTGCACCCCATGGGAGACCAGGAAAAGCACCTGGATCCTGGCTCCTGCCATCGGATCAGCGCGGTGCGCCGGCTGCAGCGGCGGCCATTGGAGGGTGATCCAACGGCAAAGGAAGACCTTTCTCTCTCTGTCTCTCTCTCTCACTGTCCACTCTGCCTGTCAAAAAAAAAAAAAAAAAAAGATTTATTTATTTGAAGGCAGGGTTGCAGAGAAAGAAGGAGAGAAAGAGTTTTTCTATGCACTGTTTCACTCCCTAAATGGCCACAACATCCAGGGCTGGGCCAGGCTGAAGCCAGGAGCATCTTCTAGTCTCCCACTTGGGTAGCAGGGGCCCAAGAACTTGGGCCATCTTCTGCTGCTTTCCGAGGCACATTAGTAGGGACCTGGATTGGAAGTGGAGCAGCCAGGACTTGAAGCGGCACCCATATCCGATGCCAGCACCACAGGTGGCAGCTTAATCCATTGTGCTACAATGCCAGCTCCAATTGTTTCATTTTTATTAACATTCAGTAAACACCTATTGACCACTTTGGTGCCAGGCTCTGTTCTGGGAGTTGGAAAAACAGCAATGATCCAGCACCAATGCTCTTATGTAGCTTTACACTCTAGGTTGAGAGGAGAGACAATAAACAAAGAAAAATATGTCAGAAATACCCTATTTTATATTATAATGAGATAAAGCAAGCTAGAAGGATAGTTTTACATAAATTTTAAACTACATCAAAGCTTCATCTAATGCAAACAAAACTGAAAGCAATCTGCTGTAGAAACATGGCTGTCCTGGGGGTCAAATTTATGAAGCTGCTGAAATTCTCTCATAGAAAAAAATTCAAGTTCTTACTTCCTCCACATTCTCCCTTATGATCTCCTTTACAACCACTGCAATGTTACTGGATATTATTTGAAAAGCAGCTATACTGTGTGAGTTAATGTCTTTTAAAATTAACCCTGTCATTTTGGTATCTAGCTCCACAGATCATTTGCCCTCCAGGGGTATTGTACTTTAATGGGAAACATTTACAATCACTTGTAAGAGTATTCATATCATCCTTTTGAAGGTAATTAAGGTCCATATTAATCAAAAGGAAAGACATAGACCATAAGCTAATGGCAGGCCTGGATTTGGTATTCTAGAACAGTGACATTATGCCTGGCATAATAGTGAGCATTTAGTAAGTATATGGTCAACAAGTGAGTGAATGAATGAATTTTAATGAATTTTAATTTTAGGGTTTTTTTTTTTGCTATTCTAATTGCAATCAGCCTTTGTTCAAATTTGAGACTAAAATGACTCTTCTTATTTATCTAAAGAATGAAGAATCACCTACAGAAGATCTATGTCTGTTGGTAAGAATCTGTCTTATAAATATTCTACAAACAGTTGAGGCCAAACTAGCTGGAGTCAAATGGATTCTCATGGTGATGTTAGGCAGAAAGAAGAAAAAAATCAGACTGAATTCCCTAGTGGCAACCACTGATAAATCTCTTGTGTATTAGTTCAGAAATATTACATGCACGTGTATATGTATGTGTGTGTGTATATATATGTATATGCGTTTATACGGACATATATATATATATGCACACATTTCCAAATTTTACGATACCTTTTCCTGCAGACAATGAACAAGTTTTTAAAAATATTTATGTATTTATTTGAAAAGCAGTGCAACAGAGAGAGAAAGGGAGAGACAGAGAGAAAAAGAGAGAGGTCTTCTATCCACTGGTTTACTCTCCAAATGGTCACAACGACTGCAACTGAGCCGATGTGAAGCCAGGAGCCAGGAGCTTCTTCCGGTCTCCCATGCAGGTGCAAGCACATCTTCTACAGCTTTTCCAGGCCATCATCAGGGAGCTGGATCAGAAGTGGAGCAGCTGGGACTCGAACTGGTGTCCCTACGAGACGCTGGCACTGCAGATGGGGGCTTTAACCTACTGAGCCACAGCACCGGCCCCCAAGCATTGATTTTTAAAAATACTTTTCAGCCCTAACCTCTTTCTCTTCTTCTATGAAGGCTCTTGTTTGTTCTTTTTTAAAGTTTTTTTCTGTCATTCATATTGATTTCTATTATTCCATCTTCAAGCACATTAATTCTTTCCTCTGTCCTCTCCATTCTGTTGAGACTATCCACTTATAAGTTTAAGATTTATTTATTTATTTGAAAGGCAGAGAGAGAGAGAGAGAAAATCGTCCATCCACTTGTTCACTCCCCAAATGGCTGCAGTGGCTGGAGCTGGGCTGATCTGAAGCCAGGAACCAGGAGCTTCATGGGTGCAGGGGCCCAAGCACTCTGGCCATCCTCCAGTGCCTTCCCTGGCACATTAGCAGGGAGCTGGATTGGAAGTGGAGTAGCTGGGAATTGAACTGGCGCCCATATGGGATACTGGCACTGCAGGCAACTTTACCCACTGTGCTACAGCACCAGTCCCTCATTTCTTCTATACCTTTGGTAAGGATTTCTATTTCTTCGTTGTGACTTTCTATGTTTTCATACATCTCAAGTGTGTTTCTAATTGCTTACTGAAGTATTTTTAAAATTTTCATAATTCTATTGTCTGTGCTATAATTGGCATCCACAGATCACCTTTTCTCATTTAAGGTGGGGTATTTCTGGTTTCTTGGTATGATTAATTTTTTTAAAGCTGGATATTGAAATTTCAAGATGGTGGAATAGGGAACGGCATTAAAAAAAGTGTAGGAAGTACATTCTTAGGGGAGAGTTAGAGAGAAACTGCAGTAGAAATTCTGTGGAAGGAAGAGGAACATCGTGGATCTACGTGCAAGGTGTGGACGTGCAGCACGAACACATACACAACAAACTACTCCAGCAGCTGAGAGTGGGAGAAAGTGGGAGACTGAGCTGAGATCAGACTGCAGCAACCTGTGCCACGGCTACGGCTGACATAGCCAGAGGGAGAGCATGTGTGAGTCTGAACCGGAACCCTAAGGGGCAGAGGGTACCCTCTGGTCCAGTAAAAAAAAAGAGGGGGACACGGTTCTCTCACCCAGTCCCCCCAAAACCACACCTGGCAACTGGCTGAGAGAGGGCGGGCACCATTTTGGGCATCAGTGGCAGCTGCGGCAGCCCTTGTGTATGTGCACAGTAACTGGCAGAGATAAGACGCCATCCTCTCAGCAGCACTGGTGGTGGCAGCTCTGGTGAAACTGGCAGGGAGAAGGCAACATTCGGCCAGTGGCCCTTGTGTATGCACGTGCCCCAGAGACTAGCAGAGGGAAAAATATACGTTCTCCACTTTGAGTCTGGCTGGGAGAACTGACAGGGAGCTGCACACCCACGAAGGACGTGAGGTGCCCCAAGCCTCCCAACATACCATAGGTCCTGGGGCTCAAACCACCTAGGCAGAATACCCACAGGCAGCTGGCTCTGGGAATGTCTGCCTCTCTGTGGACCAGGCAGGCTAGTAGGGCAGAGCAGATCCTCTGTACCCTGTGACTGTGGGAGCCTTGTGTGATGAAACCGTGGGGACTCTGACTGCAAGAGAGGGCACAGGTGTAGCTGGGCCTCTGGGCAATCACTGTGTGGAGCTCCATATGCTTAGAGCCTCCTGACTGCCTGGTGCAGGTCATTGCAGCAGGATCTGTACTCAGTGAGGATTCACAGATTCACAGATTCTTTGTGTGGTTCATACAGCAACACAAGTGACTGCACCCACAGAGGGCTAAACCTAGGCATTGCTCACCTTGGAAGAGAGGTGATGAGGGAGTAATCATACCAACAGAGGTTACCATACTGTTCCTCACCCCCCATTTTCTGTTGACAAGAGATCTACCATGCTCAACTTGGGTGTCACCCTGGATACTTGCCCCACCCTGGAGCACTGACCAGAGCTCCTTACCACACACCACACGCACCTTTGGGTATTCACTGAAAGTGCAAACATTCCCTAAGCCACAGAGGCATAGCACAGTTCAAAGAAAAGAGCCATCATAAGAAAAAAATCAACGAGTATCTCCACAAATGCCTAAAAATAAATAGAAATTCAAGAAACAATAAGGGAGACAGCATGACCTGCACAAAGGAAAATAACAACATTTCAATAGTAGAATGTGAAGATGAAGAGACTGATGAAATGTATGAAATGGAATTCAAAAGATTAATCCTAAGATTACTCAGAAGCAATGAGAAGCAAATGCATGAAGTAAAGAAATCCATGCATGATATGAATGAAACTTCTTCTGATGAAGTTGAGATTTTTAAAGAGAAATCAAAATGAAATATTAGAAATGAAGAATTCAATAAATGAAATTAAAAAATGCAATGGATAATGAAAAAGATGGCAGAATAGGGAGGGAGCTTATGGCTCTAGTCTAGGGGAGGATAGTTAAAAAATGTGGCAAGAGTGCAATTTCAGGGAAGGGTTAGGGAGAAAATGGCAGAAGAAACTCCACACAAGTTGGGGGGACACTGTGAACCTATGTGGAGGGTGTGGATGTGCACAGCCCGGGCTCCCAGCAGCTGAGAACCTCAGCACCAGCTCTGGAGTGAGGTGAGACTAGACTGCAGCAGCCCAAGCCACTGGCGATAAAGCTGTGAGAAGAGCCTGGTGTGGGCCCAGCTTGGAGCCCTTTTGGAAAGAGTATACCTGCCAACATAGAGGGAAAAAAGAGGGGGCATGTTTCTCTCTCCTGACCACTTGGACCAGTGTCTTATAACCAGCCAAGAGAGGGCAGGTGCAATTTTGGAAAAACATAACAGCTGCACCAGCTCATGTCCACGAGCCCAGTAACCAGCTGAGAGGAGATGCCTGACTATGGCTGAGAGAATTAACAGGGGGATGGGTGCTCATGACAGTGGGAGCCTTGTGTGTCAGGACTATGGAAACACTGTGGCTGTGTGGGAGGGTTCAGGGTTTGGCTGGGACTTTGGGCAGTTGCTGTGGGCAGCTCCGCATGCTCAGGGCTCCCTGATTCCCTGGTGAGGGTCATTGCTGCAGGATCTGTGTTCATTCTGAGGACTGCATAGATCCTTTTGTGGTTTTTGTGACAGTGTGGATAAAAATTGTACCCACTGTGGCTAGTGCCCAAGAATTGGATCTACTTTTAGGAGTGGAGATTGAGTGTGAGACTATGCCAACAGAGCTGGACAAACCTCCCCTCTGACTTGAGGAAAAAAAAAAAGAGGATTTACCACACCCAACTTGGGCATCACCTTGGACACTCCCCTCACCCTGGAGCACTGATCAGAGCTCCCTGACCACACCCAGCATATGCCTCTGGGTTTTCACTGAGAGAGGAGACACCCCACTAAGCCATAGAAGCATAATCCAAAGATAAAAGCTATCACACACACACACACACCCCAGTATTACCACAAATGCCTAATAATAAACACAGCAATTTGAGAAACAAGAATAAGAAGACAGTATGATGCCCCCAAAAGAACACAACACTTTGATATTAGAATGTGAAGATGGATAGAATGATGAAATGCCAGAAGTGAAATTCAAAAAATTAATCATAGGATTATCTAGAAGTAATCAGAAGCAAATTCATGAACTAAAAAATGCAAACATGGCATGAATGAAAATTTTTCCCATGAAACTGAGATTTTAAAGAGAAATCAAAACAAAATATTGGAAATGAAGAATTCAATAGAACAAGTAAAAATATAGTGGAAAGCCTGAAGAACAGATGCCGTGAGGCAGAAGAAAGAACATCTGAGTTAGAAGACAAATCTGAAAATTTTACAGTTAGACCAAAAAAGGAAGAAGAAATTAGAAAACTGAAAGAGCAATGTCAGAGATTTATGGGATACTATCAAGTGACCCAACATACTGGTCTTAGGAGTTTCTGAAGGCATGGAAAGAGAGAATGAATTAGAAGGCTTTTTTAGTGAAATAATTACAGAAAACTTAACTAATTTGGGGAAAAAAGGGACATCTAAGTACAGGAAGCATACAGAAATTCAAACAGACATGACCAGGAAAGATATTCACCATGACACCTTGTAGTCAAACTCCCCACAGTCAGCATAAAGAAAAGATTCTAAAAAGTGCATAAGAGAAATATCAGATTACTTTCAGAGGATATCCAATTAGACTCACAGCTGACTTCTCATCAGAACTTCTATAGGCTAGGAGAGAATAGAGAGGCATAATCCAAATCTTAAGAGAAAAAAAAACTGTCAACCCAGAATACTATATCCTGCAAAGCTCTCATTTATGAATTAAGGTGAAATAAAGACCTTCCACAACAAAGAGAAATGGAAAGAATTTGTCACCACTCATACAGCCTTACAAAAGATGCTTTAGGATGTGCTACACACAGAAACACAGAAAGGAAGTCACCATTAAGAAAGAATGTGAAGGCAGAAAATCTCTTAGTA